TGTTTTCTTCAGTGTACTTTTTTTCCATTTGGCCAATTGTATTTTTTTTAGGGACTTGTTTTCTTCAGTGTACTTTTCCAGTTGGCCAATTGTATTTTTTTAAGGACTCTTCTACTTCTCTCATTTGACTTTTAAAATCCTTCTTGACCTCTTCTAAGAAGGCTTTTTGGGCTTCGGATCAGTTCATATTCCCTTTTGACGTTCCAGATGTGGGTTTGTTGACAATGTTGTCCTCTTCAGAATTTCTGCCTTGATCTTCACTGTTCTCATAATATGAATCTATAGTACGTTTCTTTTTGCTCATGGTGTTTGACTATTTCCTGGCCTTTAAAGAGATTGAGCTCTCCTGCTGGGGAGCAGAGGGCACTGACCCAAGCTTCTTGTGTTGGGAGCCTAGGGTCTGGTCACTGGCTTTGTGTGCTGGGGCCTCCAATGTTGGCAATTAAAGGCAGTAGGATTCTGGCAGCTTACCTGGTGTTGGGGTGGAATCAGCAAGACTGGAACTCTAGGGCAACTCTAGGTTGCCTGCTTTTCCTTTCCTTTAGTTTTCTTCAGCTTCTTTCAGATGGATGTTGCAGAGTGTTTATCCGCCTGGGGCCCTTTGTAATGCTGCTTCCTTTATTTTTGCTGAGGCACTGGGAGACCTGTTTGCTGTAGAATGCCAAGGAACCTGGTGGTTTTCTGAGCTGGTTTCCACCAGATCCCCCGCCCTCACTGAGGCACTCGGAGGTCCAGGTGTTGGTATTTGCCTTCTCCACCACCTGGGTTTCAGGATCTCCTTTTACTGTGCTAAAGTGGGGCTTTCCGCTAGCTTGCTGGGATGCCTCCCATTCCATACTGCTCCCCTTTCCTCCAGGGCAAGAGGGGCCTTTCCCATGAATCCGTCAAGCTACCTGGTCTACTGGACTACTGCTCCCCATCTTTCTTCTGGTTCAGCTGTTCCAGGGTTTTTCCTGGGGCAATATTTTCTGGGCTTTCAGAGGTTGATAGGGGAGGGTGAGAGCAACTACCTTTTTACTTTGCCGTCTTGGCTCCTGGAAGCGGAAGTCCCTCTGTCTTTTTATTCTATGATGATGATACAGCATACATGGTTGTCTGTGATGATGACAAGTGACCAATGTGGATCTGGGTGCATCTGACCATGGTACACATAATGTTTTTGTAGAACTACAGTATGGCTGTGCTTGGTTGGGTCATTTTTCAGTTGTGTCTGACTCTTTGTGACCCCATTTGGGGTTTTCTTGGCACAGATACTGCAGTGGTTTGCCATGTCCTTCTCTAGCTCATTTGACAGATGAGGAATTGAGGCAATGAGGATTAAATGACTTGCCCAGGGTCACACAGCTAATAAGTGTCTGAGGCCAGATTTGAACTCAGGAAGATGAGACTTCTTGATTCCAGTCCCATTGTTCTATCCATTGTGTCACCTAGCTGCCCAGGGTTGTACTGCCATCCCCATGGGCTCCCTCTGATGCATGTGTGAGTATTACTAGATTAGGTAGTTTACTGAGAGGCTATTTAGCAGAGCTTTCCAATGTCTTTGGTGCTGAAGTGGTGTTTTTTATATTTGTGTTTATCTCATCTAACCTAAGCTGTTGTGTAAATCCTTGAAAACTCAATTTGGCAAAAGGTCAAACTGGGATAAGGACTTTTCACATTAGAGAGAGAGAGAGAGAGAGAGAGAGAGAGAGAGTAGGATGTGGACAGGTATTTCATGAAAGAATTCAGTTCAGGCCACTAAGTGGCTGTTGAATGTTCATGAGGTAAAATTGGATAGTTTTTTGGAAATGACTTTTTTTGACATTTAAAAAAGAAACTTACCCCTCACCCTTCTCGTCTTAGAACATCTAGAGAGATGAAGGTATGCTAGTCAGTTAAGAGGATACGAGGCAGCAGAATCTAAGGCTACACCACTCAATTCTGAGTTGGGAAAATCTGAGTTCATATCCTACCTGACTAGCTTGGACATTTACTAGCTGTGTGACCTCAACAACTCCCATCACCACTCTGGGGTTCAGTTTTTTCCTCTTTAAATTGAGAAGGTTCGATTAGTTCACCTTTGAGGTCCCTTCCAACTGTATCTCTGATCTTAAGTGAGATTTGAGGCAAGTCCTTTGATCTCCTTGGGCTTCATTTTCCTCTGTAGCAGAAGGGGATTAGACTCTGAAGATGCTTTCAGCTGGAGATTTAAGCATGTGATCCCTTGGACCCATTTGGTGGCTTGAGGTAAGGACTGGGTGAAGAGGCAGCAGATAGAGAACACACATAAAAGACTTGAAGGAGAGGCTTTGTTCAGCATGGAGGCCATGGTCCAAGGGGAAGAATAGGGGGATGTGGAGTTAGAGGAGCCAGACTGGAGTCCCAGCTCTGCTACTGCTACAAGGACTACATGTAGAGTCTCCCTCAGTGTCTGATTTTTGTGTATTCCAGGGTTAATTTTTCTTTTACACTATGCTTGGGCTTCCCTGATTTGACACTGGTAAAGTCTTGACCAAAATTGGCTAGTTATTAACAAATATCCTTCCTAGCTAAGACCACCCATTTTCTTGTACATAGTTCCTCCAAGTTTTGTCCTTGTCAGTGGGCTACATTAATATTCTGCCTGGTGCATGGCCTGTGGGCTTGGTAGCTGGCCCATTTCCTTGAACTCACCTCCTTGGTGATTTTCTGACATGGCTGCTTCTCTCTCATCCAAGTAGAAGAGCATGACCATTGGCCTCCCCAGTTTCTCAGGGCAGGGGTGACCTGGGAGACAGTGTTTGGGTTGACCTTTGACCCTCTACCACCTACTATCTGTATTTATTGAGGGGGCTGAGTCACCTAAGGTCTCCATGTTCTAGTCTAGTTTCTGAGAGTACAAATTGCAGGCAGAGGTCTCAATGGAGAGATTTTCCTTCTCTGGGAGTCCCCCATAGCCCTCAGGTGTCCAGTCCCTATCCCTGCAGCTGTCTGATCAAGACACTTTCTTTTCGGCCTCCAGAGGCTCCTGGCTAGATGCCTGGGCCCCCTCAGCTGCTCTGGGTCCCTTGCACTCCTCTTGGGTCAGGCAGCATCCTGGAGCCTGGGAGGATTCCCAACCTTCTGCCTCAACTCTCTTTCTTCCTTGGAGGGGGGAGTAGCCCAAAAGTGATTGCCTCTAGTTTCCTGCAAGCCAGGTGAGGTCAGGGGCAGACATTCATGCATGCCTGGGTGCCCCCGTGTCTCTCCCAGCCCCTGGCCTGATTTTGTCTCCTCCTGCCTGGAGAAAGGAGGCTGAGACCACCTCTGCCTCAGACCACCCCTTTCCTCCTCTGCTCTGGGGGCTGTCAGGAATCCAAGTCCCATTCAGGGGCTGGTGGTCTGCTGCTGCAGCTACTGGGCACTCTTAAGTGGTGCCCAGGACACCCTGCCCCCTCCATCCCTGCCCTCCCCATCCAGGTTATCTGTAAAGAGACTGACCCCTGACAACCCCAAGCTTAGCTCAGCTGCCCCACCCATCCTGCCCAGCCCCAGCAGCTGCCCTCAGGAAAGTGGGACCTGGTTCAGTCCTGGGCCCTCCTCCAAGGACTGGGGCCCCTTCCCCTCCCCTCCCCTCCCCTCCCCTCCCCTCCCCTCCCCAGGCTGAGTGATGGGAGTGAGAGAAAAGACTTGGGGGAGGGGCCTCCCCACTCCTCTATGCCTGACATTACAGAGCTCCGCCCTCTTTTCCTCCTTCCTCCCTCTGCTCTGGGTGGCTACTCCACTGAGGCTACTGTGACGTCACTGTACCCGCCCCTGCTACCCTTGACCAAGGGCAGTGCTTTTTGTCTCTGGAGGAAGAGGAGAGGGAGTCTGAGTCTGGAGGTGGGGCAGTTGGAGATCTGCCGTCCCCCAACCCCCTCCCCTTCTCTACCCCCACCTCCTCCCCCCGGTCACCTGAGAGATCCTTGAAATTCCTGCACTTTCGTGGGTGGCTGTGTAGGAGGTAAGCGTCGCCTCCCCCTTCCTGCCAAGACCCCCCTGCCCCTCTGCATCCTCCCCTTATATTCTCTTCTGCCCTCTCTTCTGTCTTCTCCTGAACTCCCCCCACCACAAATTGGCTTGTCTTAGTGCCCAGGGGCATGTGTGTGTGCATGGGGTGGGGGGAGTCATGGGAGTATTAGTACCTTTGTTTATGCGTGTGGTGTGTGTGTGTGTGTGTGTACCGCATGTACCCGCATGTACGTGTGAAGTCGTGTGTGCCTGCTCCTCCAGGGCTGTTCTTGCCTGGGGCTTCCTGCCTGCCCAGACCTTTGTCCGGAGTTCTGGGGCTTGGGAGGCCGTGGGGTGGAGGCCAGCAGGGAGAAGCCTTTGGGGACACTCCCTCCATCCCCTCCTCAGGCGGACGTTTCCATTCTTTCTTCCTCCCATCCTTGGCTTGGCCCCAGGGCTGGGGAGAGAGGAGACAGTCTAGGAACTCTTCTTCTCCCCTTCTCCATATCATCTCTTTCCTCTGGTGTCCTTAGATTTAATGGTGTATTTGTTTTTGTTCTGGTTTCAACTAGCACCTGGTGAAAGGGGCGTTTCCATGTATGTACCTTATTGTGGAACAGAAAGAGGGGGACTGTCCCTGAACCTGCATCTCTGTGATTTACAGACCAAAAGAAGAGAGTTGTTTTAATGTGCAGCACCTTCCCTCATTATGAGGGATTTGGAGCATTTTGTCCTAGGGCTATTGGGAGCTAGGGTTTCTTCCTTTGAAAATGTCCTTTTCCTTTGCCCTATTGGAGACTGGCTCCTCATCTTGGAAATTAGAATCAGAACAATTGTTTTCATAATCATTGATATGTAGTATAGTTTAACATCTGCTGCTGATAGTCTTTAACCCAAACCCCTTTCTTTCCTCCTTCTGCCCTCTATTATTACCCTGGAGATGCTTAGCCTGCTTAAAATTTTTTTTAGTAATGTTTTCTGTTTTTTACATCACCAGAGTATCCCAAGTATCCCTCCCTTTCCCCATCCTCGAGGGCCGTGCCATGTAACAAATTGTATTTTTGTTTTAGGGAGGAAAAAAAATGGAGCACAACTGATTGATGCCTGTGGAAAAGGTGTGCGATGTGTAACACCTGTGGACCTCTCACGGCCTGGACGGGGTAGGGTGATGGTGTCTTCTCATATTTCCTTTTCAGTCCTGCTTGTTCTTTAACATTTTGTTACAGGTACTTTCAAGGTTTTAGTGTGTGCTTCTTTCCATTTAAATTGTTGTAGTTACTGTGTATTTATTCTGTTTTCTTGGCTTCTCCTACTTCACTTTGCACCAGTTCACAAATAGCTCTGGGTACCTCCCTGTACTCCCCACTCCCATCATTTCTTAAAGCACAGTAGTAGTGTTCTATTATTCATGTTCCATACCTTGTTTAGCTCTCATTCCCCAGTTGATGAGCATCCACTTTGTTTCTAATTTGTAGCTGTTGCAAATATTTTAATATTTATAAAATATAAATATTATATTTCTATAAAATGCTATTGTAAACATTTTGGAGTATATGGAGACTTTTTTTTCTTAATGGCTTCCTTGGGGTGTAAACCCAGTAATGGAGTCTTTGCTTTAAAAACTATGGACATTTTTGTTACTTTCTTTGTATAATTCCAAATTACTTTCCAAAATGATTGTGCCATTTCACAGCTCTACCAACAATGAATTAGTGTTAAAAATTAAAAAGAAAAAAAGTTAAAACTTAAAGTATGCTGCAAGGTGCAGTTAGAGTTCATCAGTTCTCTCTCTGGAGATGAATAGCATTTTTTCACTAGGGGTACTTTGGAATTGTCTTGGATCATCATCTTGATCAGAGTAGCCAAGTCTTTTGCAGTCAATCATCAATACACTATTACTGTTGCTGTATTTTTCTCCTGGCTCTGCCCACTTCATTTTGCATCAGTTCATATATGTCTTCCCAGGATTTTCTGAAGCCATCCTATTTGTCATTTCATATATCACAGTAGTATTCCATCACAATCATATGCCCCGACCTGTTCAGTCACTCCATGTTTGATGGTCATCTCCTTGATATCTAGTTCTTTGCCACCACAAAAAGAACTGCTGTAGATATTTTTTTCTATAAATAGACTCCTTTCCCCTCCCCTTTTTAAAATCTCTTTGGGATACAGACCTAGTTATGATATTGCTGAGTCAAAGGGTGTGCACAGTTTTGTGGCCCATAGGGTATAGTTCCAAACAATTCTCCAGAATGGTCAGACTAGTTCACAACTCTAAAAACAGTGTATTAGTTTCCGAATTTTTCTACATCCCCTCCAACATTTGTCATTTTCCTTTTCTGTCGTATTAGCCAACCTGAGAGGTGTGAGGTGGTACTTCAGAGTTGGTTTTGTTTTCATTTCTCTAATCGTAGTGACTTAGAGCATTTTTTAATGTGATTATTGATAGCTTTGATTTCTTCTTCTGAATACTGCCTGTTCATATTCTTTCACCATTTATCAATTGGGGAATGACTCATTTTTTAAAAAAAATAAATTTGGCTCAGTTCCTTTTATATTTGAAAAATAGCAGCTTTATCAGAGAAACTTGCTGTCAATTTTTTCCCCATCTACCTATCTTCCTTCTAATTTTGGCTGTATTAGGGGTTTTTTGTGCAAAAGATTTTTAAATTTCATGTAATAAAAATTATCTGTTTCACTTCCCATGAGCCTCTCTATCTCTTGTTTGGTCATAAAATCTTCCCTTATCCATAAATCTGACAGGTACATTTTTCCTTGCTCTCCTGATTTACTAATGATATCACCGTTTATGTCAAAATCATGTACCCATTTTGACCTTATCTTGGTATAGATTGTGACATGTTGATTTATGCTTAGTTCTGCCAAACTGTTTTTCCAGTTTTCCCAGTAATTTTTGTCAAATGGTGAGTTCTTACTGAAGTAGAAGACATACAGTGCCCTAAAAGCTAAAAACTTTTTAAAGAAACAAATTTTAATTAAGGGTTGTTTTTCCAGCACCTTGTGAGGCCCCTCCTGAACTTGAGGGCATCCTAGAGTCTCTTTCCCCTTTCTTGAAATGCCATACAACTTGCACCAAAAGAATTTCCCTTGCCTCCCTTATCCTGTGTTCCATATTCTGTCATCCATCTTCCTCATCCTCTGTCATGACAATTTTTCCTTATCTTGATAACCATTTTCCTAAAAATATACCATTATCCTACAGGCTGTATAACTTTCTGTCTATATAAGTCTGGGTCCTTTCTTATATAGGGGCCTTTGTTTAGCTCCTTGCTAATCTCAGGCTAGTGGGCTTTGACAAAATAAAGCTCCCAATGGCTACAGAGAGGGTCTGAGTGAATTCTTTCACACCTGAACCAGCTCTCCCAACTCTAAACCTCAACATAAAATGGTGCCGAAACCCGGGAGTCCAAACATTAATTGGACTCTACTGATCTTCTCCTGGCCACTAGGATAACAGGTAAGTGCCCTTTTCTTTGTTTTCTTCCCCAGACCTTTTCTGCTCCTACTGTCTCCCTGGCTGAGACCCCTGGAGTGCCCAGACCCTGCCAGCGGTGTCTGAAGCTCCACTGACCTCTGGGTGGTCAGTCGGACTGTTGACCCTCGTATAAGGGGACGCCCTTGTGCTGGGTCGGTCGTGTTTTTTCCTGTCAAGTGTCTTGGGATGCCAAGACAAGCGAGAGGCTGCTAGTAGACTGCTAGGATGGGAAATTCAGGGAAGGAGATTTTAAAGAAAAGCACCTAGGTGTTCCATTGTGACACTGCCTGACCTCAATGTAGTCTAGAAAAATAATTTGTGAAGGGAATTTCTAAACAAGACAAGCTTAGTAAGAAATTTGGTACCCAAAACTTAAAGAAAAGGCACCTTGCTCTGCTTGAGCAGACTTTTATTCCCCTGCACCTTAGTTTACCCTGTATTGTTTCTTCCCCTCCCCCAGGGGACTTTGGGGAGGCGGGTAGGTGGGCCTTTGCGCCTGGTTTTCTTTGGGGGTCCCTGCACCCTGGTTTCAAGGTCTCATTTTCTAGTACATGCAGCTCGAAATTCCCAGGAGGATGGGAATGGAGAGTTGGACTGCTTAAGGCTTATCTGATAAGTCTCAAAGGTAGAAGAGACGAGGAACAGCTCTTCTCCAGAAGAGACTGGAAGGTATGTAAGCCTCCTCTCTCTCCCTATCCCTTTTCCCACCCTGTAGTTGGGGTGGCTCTCCAAGCACCTAGGAAGGCCTGACCTCTCAGGTCCGACCAAATGGGTCAGACAGCTACAAGGCTGTCTCATACTCAGCCTGACCTCTCGGGCTCTCTCGGTCCAGCGGTTCCAGGTCATGGACCTGGGCACACCTTCTGCAGCATAGAGGACAGACTCTATCCGGAAGCTCATGTTCAATTCTTACAAATCTCTGGGCGCTAGGGAATTGGGAAAATTGCAATTACTACCTTCTCTCTGCACCCCGAGACTCTTGGGAACTCCAGTTCAAGGAAGTAAAAAGTTTTTTGGAGCTGGAAATTGTCACCATGTGTCTTCAAAAAAAAAAGTGCGTTTATGGCCAATAATCTTTTCTTTTAAAGTGCTAAGAGTATTGGGTCTTAGAAATTAAAATGTTACTATTAATGATTATGAATCCAGATCTTGTTTGCTCATCCAATTAAATTTAAGGTCACCTGATTGGTAATTAATTGGTTCTGTGTCAAGCTTTAAATACAAGATAATTGCTTGTGGTATGGTTATATTTCTAAATTTTCTTGTATTGTGTAATGTGGTTAACGATTATATCACCTGCATTGTTAGAAAAGCAATTTCTCTTATAATCTAGATGTTGTTAGATCAAGAATTGTACTGTCAGATTATGAGGTTGTTAAATAAGACAAGGGTTTTTGGAACTATCTAGTCATAATTTCTTATTAACTCTGTGCAAAGTCTTCTATAGAAGACTGAGTAAATTTTCAAATGCCTGGTAAACTTTGTTATTGTGATAAGGCTAATTTAATTTGGTGTGTTTAAAACCCAATTAGGGAAAAAAAACCCTGAAACTTCCCAAGGTAGACACCTTTTGGTGCTTAGGAATTTGTGATTATTGAGAATTTTGGTTTTGTGGCACTTTGGGAATTTGTGATACTTAAAAGACATTTTGCACCAACTTGGTTTTGATAAATTCCAATCTTTAAGGTTTCTAGCTAATTTACTTCATGAAAGTTTAGTGATTATTCCTTTTAAGGAATCAGGATAAACTGTAACCTTTTTTTAAGAAAGGGAAATACTTTTTTACAAAATAATGTTTTGCAGAATCTTTTTGTGTGATTTTTAGAAGGCCTACTAAATTTCCTTTTGCAAGCTAATTTGTTGCAGTAATTTGATATTGATAATAATTACATCCAAATCTACTGTGAATTTTCTAAGTTTCATTCCTAGGTTTGTTGTGTCCTTAGATCGGGTGCTTTCAGAGAAACAGAGTCAATGGTTCGTGCTTCAGGCACTATAAGGGCGGGCACTGGTCTCGCGTAGGTCTGAAAGCTCAATGCCCCACTCTAAATTTTTACGGGGTGGACGTAGAAGTGAAAAAGTTAGGACAGCTAAAACATCTTAGCAGATTCTGGAAGTTTTGAGATTGATCATTAAGGAGTTTTTAAACACCTCCTTCTGATCTTGTCACTCCCTTTCTCCACTCCCTCCCCTTGAGTCAAGAGGGTTTCTCTGTGTGGGGATTCCAAACAGCCTCAGGTTTTTCTGTTAATTAGGAAGAGAGTGTTTCACCCCCCCTCACTCCCGCCTGCAAGTTCACCTTCCCCCACCTGGCTATAGGAAGGAGGGGGAGAGGCAGCAGCTACAGCCTGGAAGTATCTTCCAACACACCTCTGTGGGGAGAGAGTGAAAGGGGATGGGTCAAGGTAAAGAAGTCGGTATGTGTCTGTACTTAGTAAGCCTGCCCATCCTTCTATCAATAATGTTTATATGATCTGGAAACGCAATTGTTGCCATCTGAAGTTTATTGTTTTGTGTTACAGCTGAAACAGTTTAGTTATCACTTAAGAAAATTGTAAGATTGTTGGTTGTTTTAATGTTAAAGCCTAAAGCTGGTAATTAATTACTGTGTGTATTTGTGGAAAGGAGCAGTCCTCGGGGCTAGTGGAAAAGCACAGCCCA